TTGAGCAATAAGACCTGCAGTGTGAACATAGCCAATGACTTCAACTCGTCCAAGGCTTTACTCCTTTAGTTTAATTAAATTCAGCATTGTCATAGTCAGCAATATAAGTGAGGAAGAATCATTAAACATGCAGCCTAATAATGACAGTAAAAGAAGCATCCCTAATGACTTATTGTCACTGCAGCTTAATATCCAAACTTGAATATTTTAAGCGACTATTATTTCAGAAAACTACAGTTTGTGAATAGAAACTCAGTGCATTGATGCATGCTCTTCGTTTGGCAACATTTTCTTTATTATTTCTTGAAGTAAATGCTTACAAAAAGTGTACAATGATATCCAAGCTGCATTAATTATAAAGTTAGGGAACAGTTAGTTAAAATATTGTAATCATTATATTGTGGTATTGGTTTGTTTAGCATGCACACACTGTAYATCCTACTGTCCAGATAAAAAATAACAGCTTCAATATGAATAAAAATGCTGAAAAAATAGTTGTGTGAATATAGGTTTTTTTGATGTAGAAAAGCTTAAACATTGTTTTACACTGAATGTACCGCAGCAAACCACAGACTGTGTCCTAAAACATTCAGACTTCAGGACAAATGACCAGAGACATTTTTGTAAATAACTGATGTAAAATGTGGTGCAAAAGTTTATCATTAAACGTTAACTCAAACCCTTTTGAATAGTTTCAGATTGGAGTTGATACAGATTATAGAAGCTCAATTCAATTCAGTTTATTTATAYAGCACCAAGTCACAGCAACWGTTGTCTCAGGGCAMTGTACACAAACAAAAAGAACAAAACAAACAAACAAACAAAAAACAATAAATCTAATGAAGCCAGCAGACTGTGCCGAGTCTTTGCTTCATCACAGTCTCCCATCCTGAGCAGCACACTAAGCTCAGGATGTTCCCTACGCTGCTCTGGAAATAACACCAGTCTGATTAGCTGTTAGCTTGGTTCTGAATTGAGAGTTTTTCCATAATTTCCAAATGAAGATCGCTCAGATTGAGGTCTACTGAAGGTGAGATACTTACTACTCCTAGCTACTCTTCAGAAAGTCATTTGAAAAAAATCCAAACTATTCCTTTAAATGCCTAGAAATACAGATTCATTTTCAGGAGGGCACAAAATGACTGATACTTCAACTTGAAAGCATTAGATTGCAACTGCATTCGCTACTAAATGCACTCTTTGCCCATGCAGCTCCAGAATTATCAATTCAACGGTTGCAAAGCAAAATATTTCTTGTGCATTTCCTCTTGATCAGTCATTGGCTGTATCTCAATTCAAGGATTGGAAATTTATCAAAGACCAAAGAATTTGTATTTAAAGATAAGTTTAGCAACTTAGCTGATGAAAGTTTTGCTGCAATGAGATGTTAAATAAAATGCAGATACAAGTACTGATGCTGGAGCTGAACCCAAATTATTGATGCTTTTTATTTATTTACGTGTAATGTATTTTTAATTATACTGAGTTTGTTAAGTTATAATGTTAAAAGACATCTTAAGGCATGTGATGTTCAATGTACACTGCCTGGCCAAAAAAGAAAGTCGCCATCTGGATTTAACTAAGGTCTATGATGTGGGGTTGCTGCAGTAGGTCAGCTCTAGGTTCAGCAACAGTAYGTGTTCAAAGAATGAGGTCAGCTGACTACCTGAATATACTGAATGACCAGGTTATTCCATCAATGGATAGTTTCTTCCCTGATGGCATGACCATATTCCAAGATGACAATGCCAGGATTCGTGGGGCTGGGACTGTGTGACTCAGGGAGCACGAGACATCATTTTCACACATGGATCGGCTCCACAGAGTCCATTKAGGATCTTTGGGATGTGCTGGAGAAGGCTTTGCACAGCAGTCAGACTCGACCATCATCAGTGCAAGATCTTGGTGAAAAATTAATGCAACACTGCATGGAAATAAATCTTAGAATAGAATAGAATAGAATAGAATAGAATAGAATAGAATAGAATAGAATGCCTTTATTGTCATTACACATGAGTATAACGAGATTAGAGCCACTCCCACAGTAGTGCAAATACACATTACAAGTACAAGAAGAGAATAATGAGTAACAGGATAAAAATTAGCTAAAAAATGCCTATATATCAGCACACACACACACACACACACACATACCTACATATCCACAACAATAGAAAAACACTAAAAAAGCACATTAAAAAGCACGAGTGTTGGTTGTAAATGTGAAACTGAATTAGAAGAAAGTTAAAAGACATTATTGCACATTGTTTAAATATTGCACATTCTGTATATTGTGGTATATGGATTATGCTGGTATTGCAGGTGATCATTACAAAATAAAGTGACATGTGTCCCACAGATGTATTTATTTCACAGTAGGTGAGTTCCTCATTGRTTRTAAAACAAGAGTCAGTGTATGCGAGAGTTCAGGAAGGTGATGGCTTTTGGGGAAAAGCTGTTCTTGCATCTGTTTGTTCTTGTTCTGATGCACCTGTAGCGCTTTCCTGAGGGCAACAAGTCAAACTAATGTGACTAATTGTGACGCTGCAGAGGCTTATYRAAACAATGCCACAGCAAATGTGTGCCGTAGCCAAAGCTAAAGGCGGCTCATCAAAACATTAGTGTGTGTGACCTGCAAAGCGTGGTCACGTGAACATATTGTTGTGTTTATGTTAAATAATGCAGTTAGGAATGTAGAGACATTACGATCCCTGACCAGAGGTGGCGCAGTAGGTGAGAAAGAGAGGGGAGAAGAAGAAAAGGTGAGGTGGTCGTAGGATAGACTGCGAATAAAAAAAAATGAGAGAAGAATAAAGCCGTTCGACATGTGACCAAGTTCTCCTCCTTGACTCTACCACACAACAGACTAGACCATCTCAGTTTACAGCCTTTTAAGCAGCCCATGAGGAGCATAAACCCCTGAATTAAGACAGCTTCTGGATGTTACAAAACTTATAAAAACCTGAGGTGTGTACTTATATCACTATGACTGAGTGTGTGCTGAATACATTTACAGATTTCCAGTTTTTTGTTGATATTGGGGTATGTCCAAATACATGTAGTAATAGTATTTCATTTTGCTGTCAGTCTTTAGGGGTTTTCACACAATCTCTGTTACCACATCAWACTTGCTGTATTCTGCCATGGCTCCAGTGTGTTTGTTTCCCATGGACTCTCCTGTTGTTTAGTTCAACACAACATCTTTAGACGACATCCTGATCCATCTCCTTGGACGTTGGCTGAGGTTTAAGTGTGAAAACTGTTTTTAGAAAACAAAAACTTTGTTGCACACGACTCTGTGTTCTGCATATTCTGTCCCCTCACTCCCACACAATTCTGTCTGTAGAGATCCTTACTGCCAAAGTCTGATGAAATTTTTGTTTCTCTCAGGTTTATGGGTGAGTGTTTGCGTGTGTTTAATGGTGTTTTGTTTTCTTGAGCCATGGAGTCCTCTGTGTGTGTGTGTTTCCATGTGGTCACACGGCGTTGTCCCACTGCAGGACTAAAAGGGTTAGTGACTGAAGTGTCTGTCATTTAAAGCACGTCACCGTGTGGAGAGGTGTCTTTCTGAGGTTGTTTAGTTTTTGACAGACGTACAAAAGAGTCACCATGTTGATGGAATTCCATAAAGACCAGCGAGCAGCAAACATGACTCAGATTTGAATGGCATCTGTTTTTCACACCACCTTACCTTGGAGAAAACTGTGATTTGTCCCGACCGAGGTCGTATTTTGAAAGCGCTGACGGTCTGTGATAACAGGTTACCTCAGACGTTTCATGATGCTGCAACAAGTGGGCGATTAGAAGCTCAGCCTTGAGTTGCACCTCACAAATGATAGAGTARCAGTAAATGTCCCTGTGTTAAATAACTATTAACGTTGCGCAAATGCTGCCGTGTAGACCTTGATCTTTGCTGGTTTATTATTAGATTTTGCGCAATGTTTTGATGACGGAGCCGTTGAAAACCTTCAGCGACAGCTGATTGTGGAATTTGAGAATTAATTCCTAATATTAATTCCATTTTACAGATAGTCTGTTCTTTATTTTCTGAATTCACTTGTGTTTTTTTTTAATCAAACCGGGCATTTTCATGAATTTGCGGAACCTCAGCTGGTAAACCCAGGGGCCAAGAGCCATGGGACCACATCGGGGTGTCCCTCCTGAGCCCCGGAATAACATATTTTTAAATAATCACCCCTCTAGCCCAAGTCTGGGAAAAAAACTCCTACAAATGACTAATAACCTCCTCTAAAGGCCTTGTCTGACTTAGACCCTAAGACTGTTACACTGGGAGACTGGTGTAAAGCTAAAATTTTGGACACAAAACGTAAAATAAAGCTAAGCTCTTGTCTCTTTACATTATTGCCTCTTAGATTATTTTGAGCTAAAAATAAGTGATGAAGTTGACTCAGCTATTGCCACACTAAATTTAAGCTCCACATCTGCAGAATTGACTACATTTTAGCCATTATTATTATTATTATTATTATTGTATTTGCTGAGGTAAATTATCTGCAGCTGTCATTTTGCATCAAGATTACTTCAAAGGTTATTGGTTTATCCAGAAATTTGCTTCTGAGAGTTTGATTAGAATAGAATAAAACTTTAATGACCAGCATTGTGGAAATTAATCTATTTAATGGTTAATGAGATATTTTGCTAACAGATAGATAAAGAAGCACACACACATTTGTCTCTATTGTTGTATGGATCTTTCATTGACTTCACTTAATTTCTACAGCCTAACCCTGATCCTTTACCCCTTACCCTAAATCTAACCCCAGACCAACAAATGGGGGTTTCCATTGTGTGGACCAGGCAAATGTTCACACAATGACAAAATGTCCTCATAAGCATAGTATAAAGTCAATATATGTCCAATACATGTACACACACAGGCAGTTTTATGGCTGCACATCTTTCATGGCAGCAGTTAGTTATTAGTCCAGGAAACGATCTGCCCAGATCTGATTCTCTTCCCCTTGTTGTCCATTTCTCAGATCAGCCGCTGCCTGAAACCCGGAGGTCGTTTCGTCTCCATCACATTCGCTCAGCCTTTCTTCAGGAAACGCCTCTACGCTCGCAGCGGCTAYGGCTGGTCGATCCAGCAGCACAGTTACGGCGAAGGCCTGGAATACTTCCTGTTTGTGATGACCAAAGGGGAGGCGCTCAGCCCAGAGGATGCAGAGCTGGAAAGAAAGCTACTGGAGGAACCCGAACCCCGTCCTGCCAACACTGGCGCCACACAAAATGAAGAAAATGAGGACTTCCTGTCGAACATCGACTTGTGAAGTGACTCGGATACGTAAAGTCTTCTCAGGAATACCTTATTTTTAAGATTCACCAACAGGAAMTGTGACTCCTGAGCCTTAAACATTTCTACACATTAATTAATTATCAGTGTTTTTTAACTGCTGGCTTGTTTTATTCTATAGATATATACTACTATTGTAACTTTCATCATGTTTGATCAGAAGGAGCTTTGTTTAATATGAATATGACATTTTAACAATCTGTTATTAGCTCATTTTAATATTTTAATCGTTTTAAGAATTATCCAGAATTTAGTATTTTAGTTAGATAAGCGAGGAAGTAGAAGTCGTCCACACATAAAATGGGCAGAAAGAAGCGCAGACATGTCCATCTTCATTGTTGTTCATCCCACAGTCCCACAGCTCAACACTTTGTTTTCAGCCNGTCCCACAGCTCAACACTTTGTTTTCAGCCTGCCGGTTGCTGCTGACAAGTTGCTTTTTTTTTTTTTTTTTTGCTCACGCAGTGAAGAAATGTGCCAATAATAACACTCAGGTGTGTGAAAGTGGAGGAAAAACACAGCCAGGGAAACAGATTAGGTTAACTGTGACTCATAGAGCTTCCCTTCCTGTCAGTATCACAGTTTTCTGTCAGAACTACTATTAACTTTGCTTCGACTTAACCTCCTTTTTTTTCCTCCCCACGTTTTTATTGAAAYGGTAACAGAAACACATCAGCAGTCTGAGCTGTCGTGCAGTTTGAGTGTCAGCTTAAAGCAGTTTGCAAGACAGACATGTCTAGACACGCTGCATCGGTCTGCATGTTAAGTCACTGTTTAAGTCTATCAGCATGTCTGACAATGCCCCCCTCCTCCCCTCCGTTCTGTTGGAGTCTGCTTTAGATTCCGTACAAAAGCCACTAATAACGCCGCGCCGCGTTTCACACTCCTGTCAGGCGGCGTCTCWACACCGACAAGCCCACCCTGCGTGCGGCTTTTGTTGGTACGCRGCTCAGGTTGTGTGCGGGTTTTCTGCCGCTCCAACAGAAAGAGGAAACATCACAGAGAGCCCTGCGCGCAGACAGGCAGGAAGGCTTCTGACTGCAGGGGAACCATATTAATAAAGTAGAAATCATTTATTTTTAATTCTCCACTGAGATCTAATTACTGCCTATTTTTATAACTTGGAAGGGGGGAAAAAAAGAGTGTGATTTTTTTTTCAGATGGCTTCTTCTGAAATCTCAGTTTTCTCCTGGATCAATGTGCTTAGGTGTGTACATGTTTTTGTTGCCAGGTGGTGACAATTTTTGGTACACACAACCTTGTGAGGACTCTGTTCCCCATCGGAGAAAATACCGTAGGTGGGCCGGGTTCAGTTTAGGACTAARGTATCAATTGAGTTTAATGTAAGGTTTGTACTGGGTTGGTTAGGGTWAAGGTTAGGGTTAGGCTGTAGAAATGATTAAAGAATGATTCAAAATGAATTCAAAGTCCCCATGAGTATAGAAGAACAAATGTGTGTTTTGGCCTTGTTTTTGATCAAGTACAATCATCTCGAGCGAAATAAGAACGATAGAACTGACTGGTTTAGGATCCTAAATGTTATGAAAGACATCTAAATGTGTTTTCTGTGGGGYTCATTAAAGTGAAAACTGAAATACAGCTGAATCAACAGAATTCATCAGAAACAAAGCAGCCATTATGATTTTATTACTTTTTATTCATTTCATGCAGAATAATCAAAAATGCTCAACTTTGTTCTAGTTTAGCATAAATTGTTTTATCTTTACTTGTTTTTAGTTCATTTTCAGCATTAAAAAACAGAGTTTATTTCTGACCTGACTGATGAGCTAATGGCTAGTCTGAGCAGACCAAACACCTTAAAAACTTTAAAAGTTTGTAGCAGTTAATGCAAATGTTTTTTTTAAATATATTTATAAAATTTTACAAACAGCTGTCAGTTTCATAGTATTGTTTCTGCCCGAAGTTGCACTGTAAGTGCTACAGCTAACTGCTGCTGCTGTTAACTGTGCATCCAAAAAGCAATAAAAATMCGTGTGAACAGCAATAAAGTCAAATTTCTATTCAGGATGGGCAGTGGGGTTTTTATATTTAAAACTGGGGTGTAAATCAGCACTTTTATCATGATGTGATGTATCGRTTTGTTTGGCTGACGATACGATAATTCTTGATATCACAAAATCTGCTTGCTTTGCCAGTTAGGGTGCTTTTTTTGGACACAACACTAACCTCCGAAAAAAGAAATTGTGTTCATGATGGTTCATTTTTACTGCCATGTTGATGCATTGGAGCAGTGAAAGTGAAGCCGGATTAGCATCAGGACACGTCCCTGTAACCTAAGCTTCTGTTGCATTTATGTTTTCTAGCTGTATGTGCCAACTGAGAGGACTGTTTTATGCTTTTAAACAGTTTATTGTGCTAATTAATTAATTAATTAGCCTGACATTATTAAAGGGTAAAATAAGCACATGTTGTGAGAAGCTTAAACTCTGTTTCTCCAAACTGAGGGTTATCATAGAGCTATCTGCAACAGGTAAGATATTAATTGTTCAGACCATTTCCTTGTCAAAAGATCTGAACTAGCACTGTAATATCTAGTCACTAAACTTGTACTGCGATGATGTACTCCAGGCATGGGCAATCCTGGTCCTCAAGGGCCGCAACCCTGCATGTTTTACTTGTTTCTCTGCTCCAACACACCTTATATGAAGGAATAGAAGATCATCAGGCTTCTGCAGTACAGAGGACCAAAACTGACATAATTAGAAATAAAAGCAGAATTATATAAACCACTAAATAAATACACTTAAAATGCACCAATTAAATTTTAAAAAGAACTTTATCTCCTGTTTTATATTTTAATTGACTTTCATATTTATTTTTCCAGCTTAGTTCCAATAAATTAGTCTATTTATTTGAACACATAATTTAAATTTTATTGTTTTAATATATTGTATAATGTATGTGTATTAATTGCTTTTCATTTTACTTGTACATGCATTTGTGTCTTAAATGTTTATACTTAACTATTTTTATATTTAAGTCTTTTTATTTCAGTGTGTTGCATGCTTGTGCTGCCTCAGTTTAGCTWAAAGTTTAAAGTTTAGTTTAAAACAAAGGCAAGGAGGAAAACATTACCTGTGCCTTTATTTTCAATTAAACTTTAAGCTAAACTGTGGCAGCACAAGCAAAAAGACTTGTTGGATAACATTATAAAAATAATTCAATTTAAGCATTCAAGAGACACAAATGCATGTAGAAGTAAAAGGAAAAAAATTATGTAAAATATATATTAAAAAACATTAAAATTTAAATTATGTGTTAAAGTATATAATTTATTGGAACTAAGCTGGAAAAATAAATATGAAGGTTGATTAAATTATAAAACATGAGGTAAAGTTCTCTTTTAATTTATTTGGTGCATTTCAAAAGTATTTATTTATTTAAAGGTTCATTTATCTATTTCTGCTTTTATTCCTAATTATGTCAGTGTCCGTCCTCCTTTCTGCAGAACATGAAGAGGTAGTTCAGTGACTGAATCAGGTGTGTTGGAGCAGGGAAAATCGTCAAATGTGTAGGGCTGCGGCTCTCGAGGACCCGGATTGCCCACCCCTGATACTCTGTGCTGTATGTGGTGACAACCACATTATGTACCTTAAATGAAAAAGTACGTTTTTTTGTTTAAAAATGACATCCTGTTATTAGCTGCTCAGGTTTGATTTTATCTGATTTTATACCAAATAAATGCTCCTTAAATTAAGAATGGCTTTAGAGAAAGAAATAAACCCTAGAAATGTTTTCTCCTATGTGTTTTCTAACGTCCGCACTTTACCCWGGCTGTTATTGGTTCCTGTGACAATATGTACACAACCCAGGATGTTTAACTGGCTACTATCTGGTTTCTGTGGTGACAAATAGATGTAAAGTCTTGACTTCTTTAGCGGGAGGGTTCAGGAACAGACYGGCACCTGTTTGACCTGGGAGGGTGGAAACAGGAGGGGTGCTTATGTAAGTCTTAAACAGCCATGGCTTTCATATCGACCGGAGAGGGCTGCAGCTGCGCCGCTGCACAGAGACATGAAAACATTTGATGGATTCATTACTCTGTGGGGTGGACGGAGACTGGATGTGTCCCTACATACTCAGAGGCTTTTCTGCACCGCCCCTCCTGAAGCCCTGACACTTTCTTTCCTCTTCGTATGTAGTTTTCAACCAACTTTGGCTTCTGCTCTCTCCTGATATGAATGTATTCAAATTTTAAAAAAAAAATCAGAAGGCATTTATGTTCCGTTTGCAGCTTTCTCAGCAGGACAGGCTGATGTGCAGTGGCAGAGACCCCACTGTGAGATTTAACTTTACTGGACTTAGGTTACATAACCATGGAGCAGAGCACAAACCGCCCCTCAGGAGAGGTTTTAGTCATCATTTATAAACGTAAATCCTTGCCCGTCGGACACAGTTATTATTTTTTATATATCCATCTTTCCACTTGATCTTGTACTGTTCCTCTGCCTGTGCGCTCGTATCTGTGTGAGAAAACAGCCTAAATATTTTCCCTCCTGCTGTTAATTGTCCTCTATGCTCCATTGCCCAAGGGCAGCAACAGCACTGATCTACTGCATGCTCAATGATTCTCTGTCTCTCTGTGCCTTTCTGCATCACTCCTCTCAGTCTACCCCCCATCCGCCTGGTCCTCTGGATGCATCATGTGGCTCTGGATGATTTGTTTTATGGATGTTATGTGGCCCGTCATGCAGCTCGAAAAGGTTGACTGCATGTTTTCTCTCGTAGTGTTGATAACTGAGCTGTGGACTCACTGCAACAACACTCAGCTGCTCCATTTTTTTTTGTTCTTTAGTTGTTGCCTTTTTCATTTAAAGGTTTGTGCTTTTATTCTGATGGTTTACTAAAACTGCTTGCTACGCTTTCTTTTTTTTTATCAGTATTCGGATGAAAGCCTTCTTATCCTCCTAAGCTTGTAGCCCTCGTTTTTAGCACTTTCCCCCCTTTTTTAGCCTGGTTAAAACCAGACCCTGTCCTTCACTTTGCTTCATACAAGGAGCAGTGAAGGGAAACTAGAATTGAATGGAGCTGCATAGGAAGGCAAGGGCCAGGCTACCCCTTTTTTAATAGATAGTTCTTTATGCAGCAATAATCTTAAATTTGGTGTAACTCAGGGGTCTGCAATCTTTACAATCAAAAGAACCATTTCTGCTCTTTGGCTTACTATTAAAAAGTGTCCCAAGCTGCAGAACATGCTACAACTGTGATTATCAACTGGTGGTCCGTGGGCCACTTGGAGTTT